TTCGGGACCACTCTGAGGCTATAGACGAAACCGGAAAATTACGCCCCCCTTTTCTCACCTACGCAAGCTGGTCTTCAACTCAAGGCCTGGATGCCTTGGTTGCCGTGACGCTTGCGTTGTCGGGAAATATGAAACCAAGTTAAGGACAACATAATTTTATTATGATTGATTGTCAACAAATAACAGAATCATTAAAAATGTGTTCCACAGTTGTGCCTGGAAAGTAAATGGGAGAAGAATTAGTGCAAGGCAACAGAATGGAGACGACCAGAGGAGGGGATGGATTTTACGGCAGAAAACCCCACCCACCACATACACCTGCGTGCGGTAGCATTGGAGAAGCTAGGTTGAACTGCCTGAACTGCATCACCATACTTTGCAAGCAAACCACGCAGACGGACGGAAGCAAGAGAGAGAACATTCAAACTCCCATCATCACAAACAGCCATGGGTCCAAATGGGCTCAGCGGATCTCGGATACCCTGCAGATCACATACAGGATGGTCCAAGAGGCGAAGTTTATCGTGCACACCATCACCGGTCACGTCTATTCAATAGCTTATCCGGACATAGTCTCGGATTTCCATGGATGACATAAAACATCGCAGCAATCCAAACAAAACGCGCTCCTGCGTGGCATTCAAACGTCGGTTTGCAGCGTACACTTGGCAGTCGGACGTACGCAGGTCATGCGAGTGTTGCATATATAAAAACTAATTATTACAAGGCGATTGTCACGGTGAACGATACGCATGAACGATCGGTAGTCACAATCAGCATACCTAAATATAAGTCATTTACATGATTGTGCGCAAAAATATCGACTTACTGACGACCCTTCTGATTAGCATTCCAGTGAGAACGCACTTCGCCGACATTCTGTTCGTCCGAGGATACATCGTGTGAACCTACAAGGCATTCTACCACATTTAACCACCTACTTGACCGTATTGTCGTTGCAACCGTGCTGGCGGCGTCCTCCACGTCGTGGGCACCCGGACCGCAAGCGGAGCAAGCGAGGAATGGCCATTTGTAGCTCGACACCAGTTTATATACCATCCCGACATTGGCCTTCACACACCGGCTGCCCGGTCCAGACTGCAAGTTGCTGATTCTGTCAAATTTGTTAAGCAATAGCTATGATCTCTCTTCTATTCTCAAATTCATGCCGCGACATCCAATCCGAAATCACGAAACAAAGGTCCCGCATGATGATTCGCTCGAGTTCCGCCTATTACGAATACTTCGGGGGCTTCGACTAAGTGACCTCCAACCGTTGCGGGCAAAGTATGTATTCGGAAATGACGGAAACCGTAGCTCACTTTGAGGAATCTACCGACAGGTATATAAGATTTTCGCCTAGACATGCACCGAGTGGATGGTGGTGCTCGAGGGCCAGCTCTCGCTTGGTTGACTGTAAGAAAGGAAAAATAAATTAATGGACACACTACTCATGGGCAATATTTTGTTCACGAAAGAAATGGCACATATTCTAGCAATCTGCCATCGCGTTGGACTGGAAAATAAGTGACCAAATTTATCTCTCTTCACTACCACGGCTGTCAAACTAATGGCTTTGAGTTCTGTCAGCAGACAAAATAACGATCATTGATCAAAGATGACGATGGACAGAACAGACTAGAGTTCGAGTGAAACTCAAAGTTTAATGGATCTTTGCAATCGATTAGTTTTATGTATGGTCTAAGCATGGACACTTCGATTCGATGTCTGTGGTCACAGTAACTCAGGATGGGTGGGGGGGGCGAATGATAGAGGGGAGCAGAATTACAGCCACAAGGACCTACACTTCCTTGATTTTTTATCTGTCGCGACAAATATACTCAGAAATACGACCGTTTGCAGAAGGCATCAACATATAACGATTAGTATAGACACCAAAATACGTTTAGAGGTATATCCGATAGAACAGCAAGTGCGCCGCTGCGGTCCCAACCACTGGTCGGGGGGTATGATTTCGTATCATCCGTGAGAGTTTCGTGATATATGCAATGTTGATGGTTCCCAATAAGGACAAAATAGCTTTTAGGCATAGATTTACTTGCAAGAAGAAATCTGTACATATTTGATGGATTCAACCAGGAGTACGAGGGTTTCAGTGTAGCGCTGTTAACAAGAAAACTCGGTGCTATTCGAAGAAAGGCAAATGGTGGGCGTGGATTCCCACAGAAAACCACTTGAGGGATTCAGGAAACGCAAAATCTAGTGTATTCGAAGGGTAGTAATTTTTGCCAGCTTTAGCGCAAAGTATCGGTTTTGCTCATTATCTAGAAAACAATGAATAGCCATTATGTGAATGGATTTGATTTCTTAAAAAGACCGCGTGGTGACTTTTTAAACTTGTCGATTGCCGATTGTGTTATCGTGCTGCGTCACGAAATAGAAATCTGACTTCGTTACGTTAACGACCGTGGACTGTGCAG